CCCATTACCTTATCTATTTGGTCAATTAAAGCTGATATAGAAGAGTACACTGTGGTCATTGTAATTGCACTACACCTAACAGACAAGCTACCCCGTGTTTGGAACGAATGAAAATGGTACTGTGGCTTTTCATTGATCTTGGCTTGTCTGTGGACCTATAGTTAATGAGGAATGTACAGTTCCTATCTCCTGGAAGGACAATGCTTCCTTCTTCAACAAAGAAAACCAAACTCTCCCATCACATGACTCGTATAAGCAAACCGTTTATTCTTATGCATTTCCCATGTGTTATGTGTCTGTTTTCAGCTTTAAACAGAGGGCATCCGTATACAGGTTTGATTGTAACAACATTTCTAAGATTTTTCTTTTTTTAATTACCAGTTATCCTAAAATCTTAAGTTGTTAACTGAAGGCTTACCAATGATTTTACATTTAATACTCTTTTCGTAAAACTACTAATTATTTGATTAGAGAGGCTTTGATATCTTGTTAATTAATTAATGAATACGAATGATTTTATATTACATTGATTGCAAACTTCCAATAGCCTTTTCTTCACAAAATTCTTTGTTTATCTTGGATGCAAATTCAAATTTGGAAGTTTTGATAGCTTTCTATTTTCAAGTTATCTGGATGTGTAAATAACCAACTGTTTGTTTGAAAACAAAATGACGAGAGAAAGAAAATGAGAGCAGCAAAGTTATGCACACATATATTAGTTAAGGATTGGGTGTGCAAAAAGGATAGCACGCACGCGAGTTGCAAGTGCTTTGTTATTGAAGATAGATCATCGTATGTATTATACTTTTATAAGGATAATAATGAGATAATAATAATGGCTAAAGTTTCCCATGGAATTTTATTTTACAATTTTCTAGACTTGTATGAGTTTATTTTGAAGCCACCTTAATTTTGTGTGTCCTATGTTTATAATTTTTACTCGCAGCGATTTTTCTCAATAGTGTCAATCAAAGTTAATAGTCATACCAAGTGGAGATTATTTTGATCGAAAAATAAATGTGATTACATTTTAGGCTTTGGTCGCTAACATATATAAGTGGTCCTTAAATTATTACCTAATGTATCAAATTATTGTTGTGAAGTTAGCCCCCTCAATTATGATTCTTCTGATGTCACGAACCTAACATACTTTATTTTGAGTGGCTTAGTAATGATCCGGGCCTTCTAATTCAGATCACTCGTCCCTACCAGAAGAGGACCGACCCCCCCATTGCCATTCACTATCAGTTTCATTTCAATGTCAAGGTGATCAAATTAAAGCCTGAAAGGTACCTTTTTAGATTGGTTGAACTGAGATAAGCATATAGGACAATAAATCTTCTTAAGATTTAGAAATTAAAAGCAAGTTACCAATATCAAATCCTAAAGGGATGATTTGGGGGAGGGGGTTTAAGAACATGCATGTTCCGTTACCTTAAGTGAATCCTCCTCCAATATATATATTTAAACAACTCCGACTATGACTTGCTTTTTCTTTGGGGCAAAATCATGTCAAGGTTTGAGCTTGATGCGTCCGGTTTAGTGGGATACGGTAAGGTGATGTTTATGTTGGGTCACAAGGAAAACCCATGGCAGGGGAGATTTACCATCATATTAGTTAAGCTACGGATTCAAATATAAGAGAGCTCAAATATCATATTTCAATCCAAAATATTAAGATATTAGGATACAATCTTTACTGAGCATTTTTCTAACCAATGTGGAAGTTCACTTCTTATAAATGAATTCTCATCCCAAACAATATATATATATATATATATATATATATATATATATATATATATATATATAGGGTCAGGATCATTTTACACCAGTGTAAGTTACACTCTCAATCTTATCCGTTGATTTCATTTATATCTAACGGTTCAAATTTTTTAGTAATGTGAGCCATTGGATATAAGTGGTTCAATGGTCAAGATTGAGTGTAAGACTTCTAACTCTTACACCGGTGTAAGAATATCCTGCCCCATATATATATATATATATATATATATATATATATGAGTTTAATGAGTGTTCAGTGACTGGATACAAAATTTGGTCCAGTGCACCAAGTTCTCCCGCGAGAACACAGTTATAGTAAATATTATAATTATGTTCTCCCGGAAGAACACCTGGAGAACATCATTATAATATTTATTGCACTAAGTTCTCGCGGAAAAACTTAGTGCACTGGACGGTCCAGTGACTGAATTTTCATTTTTTCATATATATATATATATATATATATATATATATATATATATATATATATATATATATGAATTACACGCTCAACATATCATTTCAATAACATAAAATATGCTAGTATAGTGAATGTGTGTAACTGAGGGTTGACCCTTTACATGTTAGGGTTTAGAGTTTGTGGATTGGTAGTTGAGTCGTGTTATGGTACTTCTAATACAAAAGTCCAGAAAAGAGCTCATGAAGAATGATAGATCAATTTTTATTTTTCCATGCGCCTAAATTTGAGAAGTCCATATCTATTTGCTTGTGAAATTGAGTCAACATTATTATTAGATACAACATTGTAGGTGAAAGCAACGACTTTGAAGGTGGAAGGCAGGCAGTCCTAGATCACAAACAAATTAAAATTTTGGGAAAACAATACTTAATAATTGATACTTCCTTTTCAATGACGCAAGCATATGGTCAGTCTAGCGTCACAAAAATGGAGATCAATGAAAGAGAGATCCAAATAAAATGAAAAGAAGTGAAAAATAGTGCAGTGGGTTTGAATTGTGTTCATGAGTGATGAGTCCATGCAGATCAATTTTACAACTTTTACAACTTGGTAACAGTTTTGACCCGCTTGAGTAAGCGAAAAAATCATAATAAATGAATTCGATATCAAATCTTAATCCAAAGAGGAGAGTTCAAATAGGGCAGAACACATTCAATATTGGGTTAAAGTAAGAATCCAACTCACAATACTTCATCTCGACACCACAATTAAACCAAAACTTAAAGTACTGAGTTTATAAATCTTTTCATTTATACGCGCTTACTTAATCCATCTCTTCACTCGTCACGCACGTTTATATTTCTATCAGTAACCAAATAGCAGTTGCTAAAAGCCTAAAATCATTGCATGCTATCATAGCAATTTACTAGCCAAGACAAACCGGGTAACATTATTATCCCTAAGGTGGTGTTTGGTTGGGAGCTTTTCAGCGGATGTTTATCTTTCTCAAATATGGCTTTTAGAAACACCATGTTTGTTTCAACGTTTTTCACCAAAAACCCATCTATCCAATTTGTCTGGATTTATGAGAAACATAGATATCCGCACTGTTAAGAAACCCAATTTGAATGTGAGATTTTTCGGAAAACTGATTATCTGGCTTTTAATGCACTGTTGATTTCATAAAGTTACCTAATTTTCCCAGTAAAATTTTTCCCCACCAAACAACTTTTTTTTACATTTTTCTACCTATCTCACTTTATCTATCTTTTCAATCATTTATCTATCTATCTCATTTCCCTACTATTACAAAAAAATTTCCTGAACCAAACGCCCCCTAAAAGATCATTTCAATCCAAAATTTTAACATGTTAGGTAAAGATTTTTTTTTTTAATAATTTATATTATTTTTTTAACACACCTTCCTTCATGCAAGATCTTTAGACTTGAAGCGTGAATATTACACAGGCCAAATTTTATTTTATTGTTTATTTTTCTTTATGCTAATTTAATTCCATAAGTGAGGGTAATGATAATTGAACTCATGACTTTATGGTCACTTAATCTGTGTGGTAACATGTAAAAAATTATTTTAACACAAAACCTTAATAGGTTGGATATGACATTTTTTTAATAATTTATATTATTTTGTTAACACTGTGTAATTGCCTTGCTCACTTTCTTCGGGGAAAAACAGCATTGCTTATATTATACGTTTTTTACTAGAATCACATGAAGATACCTTAGTCGTTGCGAAAAAGAAAAAGGAGAAAAGGTAATTTAAAAAAAAAAAAAATCAAGTCAGAGAATGGTTGTATTATTTCAACTTCCAACACCATGCACGAAAAAATCTAGCATTGTGTAGTCAAGTCGTCAATTTATTTTTGTCACATTCATCTGTCAAATAAATTTAAAATGATTAAGTGATAAAAATAGTTTTGTAAAAAACAAACTTTTATATGCGCACATATAAAGTACTTTTCATCCTTGTATTATATTGCAATACTTTTTGGTGAGAGATTAAAAGAAAAAGTGCGAGTTCAGGTTGTCGATCAGTGGACAACTTTTAAGAGCACAGTTAACTTGAGAATTCATATTGATGTTAATTCTCTTCTTTATGGCTTTTTTTTTTATATATTAAAATTACCTTTTTCCATCATGAAGGTCGGTCGGGGACATTTGATCTTAGATTAAGATTGCTTTATCATCTAAATTAATTTTCACATTGCTTATTTAGCTAGTTTAAAATATGAGTAGACACTCATTTTGGTCATTCACGTATGCCCTTCTTTCCTAATTTGGTTTTCATCAAATTAATTTTTAAATAAAAGACCCTTTAATTGAAGAGTTTTTAAATTTTGGTCTTATATTTAGAATTATGAAAAATTATACATGTGCTTCTGTCATAATTTGATAAAGTAGAATTGTTGATGACTTTAGCAGTATTATATACTGCCATCTAACTCATTTTCATATATTCTCTTACCAAAGCTTTGGATAATAATAAGAAGAAGCAGAAGTAAAAAAATCACTTATAAGATGAAATTATGTATGCAATAATGTAAAATTGTGAATATGAGTTTGTACAAGTGAAACTACAAAGACAACGGGACAAACAACCAAAAGTGACAAGAAAGACTTGAAAATTAGTAAAATTGCAATAAAAGACTCTAGTACACACCTACTATTAAACGGTCCACACGCCTTTGCCCAAATTATTTTATTTTCTGGTAGTTTGATTTATGGGGCTAGGATTAAAGAAATAAATGCTAGAAAAGGCCAAAGCAAAGGTCCCTCCGACCATCCTTGTCACATTTTCCACTGCCCATGTCCCTTAGAACATGGAGGAAATTATGGCATTTCCCCCTTCTTAAACTCTCATTCTCTCTCTCTCATCTCAAACACCATAAAAGCCCTCATTGAACAACAGACACTTCCTAGTTCTTGAAGCAACAAAACCATAAATCCCAAGTGAGAAAACACGGCAACATAAAAAGAAACAAAGACCACCTCAATCATTGTGGTCGAATCCAACCAAAGGAAATCTATCCATTATTTACAATACTTTGCCTCTCTTGGTCATCACCCTTTTACATGTTTTAAGGAGAAAAGATTCTCATCCTTAAAAAAGCTTTTCCTTGAAGCTGAAAGTTGAGGTAAGAGTTATAAAGAGATGGAGATTGAATCAGTCAAGTGTGAATGTTGTGGCTTGAAAGAGGATTGCACCCAAGACTATATCAGTGATGTGAAGGCCAAGTTTGATGGAAAATGGTTATGTGGCTTGTGCTCAGAAGCAGTTAGAGATGAAGTAAGTGGAGGGAAAAAGCCATCAGCCATGGATGAAGCTGTGAAAGCTCACATGTCATTCTGTCGCAAGTTCAAATCAAACCCTGCAGTTCGAGTCGCAGATGGTATGAGACAGATGCTAAGGAGAAGATCAGGTGATTTGTCAACATCTCCATCTTCATCAAAGAAGTATACAAGGTCAACCAGCACTTGTCAAGTTGGGGATTCTTCTAGTTTCTCATTCTAAACAGAGGAATTTGCAAGGTGGGAACAAGGCAGGGGAGACTCTGCTTTGGTTGGAATAAAAGTTCATAGTTTTTAGCTTTTTTGGTTAAGCTTTTTCATCTTGTCATGTACAGGGAGTGTTATTTCAGATAAAGGGTCTTTTCTTCTGCTTTTTTTTCTTTTTTTTCTTCCTAAACTGATCCCTAGTTTGGTATCTCTAACCCCCTTTATCATCTCTGTGTTTTCTAAAGACGAAGAAGATCCCAGCTTTTATTGTGCATGAAAAAGATCAAAGAACCGTTCTCCACCAAAACTTATAGAGTAATTTGACTCATTTCTGCTTAAAATGGACAAAGCAAAAACCAGATTTAATGCTTCTAGTTCTAAGCAAAATGAGTATTTCCTTTTCTCTCATCTATTAAAATGGTATTTTCGGGTGCTAAAAACTTCTTTGTTTAATTGACACAAGTATTTTTAAGGACTGGAGTATGATGATAAAGTTGAAGGTTGGTTCTTTCTTAAGCCAACCCATCTTGCGCTCTAATTGGTGTTTGCATACCTAATATGTGTTTGTATATATTTGGTTATTTTCTGTTGTCGTGTTCTATCTCCTCAAAGAATGGGCATCATCTTACGCAGCGACGAACCTAGAAAATTATATAACGGGGACAAAAATTTATATTACTATTATGAAAAAGTAATGCTAATTTTGGTTGGATGATCACGCTAAGAATACAAAAATACTTATTAAGAAGAACCTAATAAAATTACAGAATTTTTTGTCAATTTTTTGATTGGAGTGTCAATTTTTTGTTTCTGGTGATAGTAATCCAATGCACCCTCTATTTCAATGAGGAATTAGCCTTAAGACCCTATATTTTGTTTGTACGATCAATTTTTTATTGTTTATCTTCATGCCTTCTGGTGTTGTAATTGCACTTTTTTTGATTTTTTTGTTTGTAATCTTATTTTCTCCCTTAGCTGTTATTCAATAGAAGACACGGTAAATTAATTAATGTGTTATTTATTTTTAGCATTTGGTCCCAACTAATAATTGATACATATTATTGACCTTTTTACTTTGCCAACAAAATCAAAACTTAAATACTCTTCTCCTGAGTTCTGACATGACAATCTGTACAAATTTTTAATGATTATAAAAAGAAAATTAGATAATCAATTAATATAAAATCAAATTCTAGAAAATTTGACAGGTAGAGTGAATATGCATTACTAACTGAACTCTTCTTTGTATATAACGGAAAATGCAACTTTCCACATTGATTGAAGTGGGTAGCAGACCAAGAACAAAATCTGCCATATATGTTAGCAGATTGAATCTGGTAAATAATAGTTATCTCTAATTGGGTGCAATGAACAGGTGGAACACTTTTCTTATGAATAAGATTGTTTGTCTTTCACTTTTTAAAAACACTTTTAAAATTTTGCTTTTTTTGACCATGTTGCATATCATGTAGTAGAACATATTTTTATAGTTTAGAGGGGGGCGCGCATGTAGGTCCGCCCTTGATCTTAGACTAGTAACCTTGGAATGATTCAAAGAAGGGAAAAAATCTTTGCATACGTTGTTCTTTTCAGAAAATCCATAACCTACTTTGCCAACATTTGGTGCATTACTCGGAAGTAAATTTTCAGTTTTAAGGTGCAGGTTTGAGCACTCTATTCTCCCTAGTGCCTAGATATTTTTCATACTTTACATAGACAAACGGTTTATAATTACCGAAATAAAATAAAAAAAATCCAGAAACGTATCTGAGAATGTGATTAATCTATTCATAAAGCAACACCTATTGTCAATTTCCTACTCCGTCCTACGGGGTTAGATTATGGCACAACCCTCAACTTCCAAATATAAAACGTGAAGAGTGACTATTTTATGGGCAGTGACTTCATCACATATTGACCGCTTATATGATGATATATTTTTTTTTCCCTCTTATATTATTAATAATAGAAGATAATTTTATCTCTTACGCATACATAAAAGTATGTATAACTTATTTTTTTTCATTTGATTTCAGATGAGCCCTACACATTTTTATGTATGTAAGTGATAATATCTCATACAATATAAAAAAACATTAGTTCCTAGTTTTAAACCATTTTTTTAACTACTTTTAGCGGTAGATGATAGTTTTCTTGAGATTGAGTTATACAAAGCTATAAAGTTCCATTAAATGAAGAAACATGAAGTGGCTGAGACACTACTTTGGTTGTAGTTAAAGATTTTTGCTAGTTAAGGTACTTGATTACAATCAACTGAGGTTTGATTGAATTACAAAATCATCAATAGTTTGCTGCCATTTGCCAGTGCCAAGTTGAATTCTGGCCGTCACTAGCTCACATGATCACATCCCATGGAATCCGATTCTTCTACTTTTTTTAATAAATGATTCTTCAATCTATAAAATCGTCTTTAATGTGATATTCATTTAACAATTTAAATTTTTAGGTTGAATTGATTGTTACATGTTCTAGATTTTTATCACCCTTATTTTATTAATAAATAATTAAAAAAATTGGAGTTTTTTAGTACATGTAAATGAATACGTGCATTGACCACACTTCAAATCTATTATATAAGAGATATGTTAGAAAAATATAAAATTATTAATATAGCTTTTATCTAATAACTTAAGTTTTTGAATTGAATTAATTATTTACAATAAAATTATTTTATTTTTATTTTTTTGGAAAGGAATAAGAGTTATAATGTTAACCACAAATCCTAATAAACATGTTCTTATGAGGAAATCCAAACATTTAGGGCTGTTTGGTAGAAGGGAAAGTTTTGGATTACTAGGAAACTGATATTGGTAATATTAAGGGGGTGTTTGGTTCAAGTTTTTGGAGAGGATTACCGGTAATCCTTCTTTGGTAAATGTAATTACCACGTTTGGTAGAAGGAATAAATTACGATTCCCGGATATCCAAGGATTACCGGTAATTTGATTTATAAAGAAAAGTCACTATTCGGATTACCAAAAATAATATGGTAATTCGGAATACCAATCAGAATATCAAGTAAAGGGAAAGCACAACAATAAATTTTGAGACAAAAATACCCCAATACACATAAAAATCTAGACACAATCTATCAATTACAAAAGTAAAAATAGTTTGGGGTTATTTTTGTGAAATAACCTCATATTCCAAGTCATATTTCGTTCTAAACCAAATATGGAATCAGTAATTTTTACCCAATATTCCCGGTAATATTTTGGCGAACCAAACACATCTTTCGTAAGATTCCAAGTAAACTCAATTTCTACTGAATTCCCATTAATCATGATTTCTGATCACCAAAAAATTTCTCTTGTACCAAATACACCCTAAAGAAAATAATTGCCGAGCTATCATGGGAAAAATTCAAGAACAAGAAATATAATAATGTGCCTTGCCAATTGCCATAGATAATGCTGATGCTGCCCTACAATGTTGGGGAGTTGGGTTTGCTTTGCCTAGACTTTTGTTCAGCGAAAACAACGTGCCAACAAGGACTTGCACATTTAATGAACTTGGCGTGGCTTCCCAAAATCTGTTTGGCACTAACTAACATGTTTCCATCAAACTCTTTTCCCTTGTTGTATTTTTACGGGAATGGATTATTAAGTTATTTGATCACAATTATTTATTGATAATAAAATAAGAGAGAGAAAAATGTACAATTTTTTTTAATAAACAAGTATATAATTTTTAAATGAGTAGTTATTATCAAATAATATAATCACATGATATTTTTTTAAATGATAGAATTCAAATCCTATTTTCATACTTCCTGTCTCAGATAGGCTACAGTAAAAAAAAAGGGTTTTCAATGATCCCTCCCTCGAAGGTAATCCTTGGAGCTTAATGTTCCAATCAATATGTAACCTTATTTGAACAGACAAAACGATAGGATCATTCAAGAACCATGACCAACTTATTTTGTAGATGGAAAACAGGTCACGTAAAATGCTGATGATGTTTGCTTCTTTTTAGGGTAACCTGGTTAAAAGGTCAAGCATCAATTTCATGTCTTTCATGGTCATTAAGTTATCTAAGAATATTTTCATAACAGATTTGGTAAGTCGACTGTTTTTCTTAGCTTTGAACTTGGAACTATGTGGTGGAATATAAATTTATTCACTTTCTTACCAACAAATCTGCTACCCGCTAAGTTTTAGAATTTAAACTTCGATTGATTTTGGCGACAATAGATTGTTGGAAATTTAAATAGGAGTTATGAAGTTATACATTGGTTATGAAGTTAGTATCATATAATTTATGAAGTTTTAGATTGAGATGTGATATTAAGTCTTAACCGATTAATAAAAAGTATCGGCTCTTTGACCAATTTGGTATTTTTTCTGTTTAAATGTACTAATTTGGTATCTGGTTGAAAAAAATTACGATTTGGGGTCTTTAAGTGCCACGAGGGAGCCAGCGTATCTAAATGACGGACATGGATCCCCGCAGCACTAGTGTGATGATTTTTATTTTTATTTTTATTTTTGCTTATAGTGCCGCACCCACCTCCCATCGGCACTCATTAAAGAATATTTTTATATTTAAATGAGTGCCACCCCCTACCCCCATCGGTACTGATTCTGTCTTTTATTTTTATTTTTATTACAAGTGTCGCCCATTCCCCTCCTCCCCCCAAACAGCACTCATATCATATTGTATGAGATCAAAATCTGGGATATCATATCAATTTTTGCACACTGCACAGAGATATAACAGAAGATTCTTATATATTCAAAGAAATATGCAACCTAGCGGTCATGATATCAGATATTGAGCAGTATTTCATGGTTTGGAGATGAGAGGATTCTTATATGTTGAGCACTAGAAATTTCCTTGTTGGGTTTTCTCAATCTTCCATTAATTTTATTTTTGTTAACATCACCACATACCTGGAATCCATTAACGACAGCAAGAAGAATAAGGAAGAAAGACATTTCAAAATTGCAGATCTACGTTTTAATTTCTCCGTCAGTTTCTTTTATGTTATAAACAACTGTTACTGAAGACACATTGCTTATTTTATAATATAAAAATTCACCATGAAACAGGGAAGGGAAACAAACCAAAAAAGCATCACAACCTCGTCGCTCTTTAGAGGTTGATTCCATTAGAGACACCATTCATAAGGTCCTCTCCGACTTGGTCATGCATCTGATCCACTCTGTCTCCAGCTGTTTTATTTTATTTTCATTCGCAGAAGTTAATCAAAACGGAGGTTCACAAAAAAAAAATTAGATTAGTGCCAAATTGGGGGTAGGGCGACACTGATTTAAATAAAAAAATTTATTTATTGATTGTCGTGCGGGGTAGTCTGCGGCACTGGTTAGGAAAAAAAATTAAAGAGTGCCGCGGGAGCCTGGGGCGTCATTTAGATACGTTGAGTTTCTCTCGCGGTACTCAAAAACCTCAAATCATAATTTATTTCAACGAGATACCAAATTGATATATTTAAACTGAAAAAATACCAAATTGATCAAAGAGCCAAAAAGTATCCCTTATTTTAACTTTAGCTCCCTAGTCAAGACTTCACATACATAACAATTATTTGAGTCAATTCATTCTGAAAGTGAGGTAAATTAAATGATGTTGAATTTGAGCTGATTATGGTTGAAGTTGCACCGATTCATAATTTGGTTAAAAAAAAATTAAATTAATTCTTATTGATTCTATTTTTAAATTTGTTTAAATTAAAAAGATTAACATACTTATTGCCTTTTAATTAATGTGTAATTCTTAAAATTATATATTTTATTCAATAATTACATTTAGATCCAACTAATGAAAGAGTAAGGAAGGATGAAAAGGAAAAAAAAAAAGATAATATAAAAAAAATTAAACTTTATAATCGTTATGTACCCAACATTCACATTTTAAAAGGCCCAAAAAAAATGTTTACCAAAAAAAAAAAATAACTAAGAGAAAAATTAAAAAAAATTTATTAATTATAGTAATTCTAGTAATAATAATAAATCAAGAACTGATTTTCAATAATTTTTTTTTTTTTAAATGATTTTCAATAACTTTTAAGAGACCCAAACATCCAGTCTTGTCAGGTGACTCATCTATCTACGAATGAAAGGGTTAACAAAATCAAATACACACGCTTCAACTCTCTCTCTCTCCTCCTAAGAAAGTAACAGGGCTATGTATGTCATTTCAGTATTACAAAAACGAGTATCGCGTATATATGACCGTTAGGATTCAAATTTCGAAGTTGAAAGCTTCACACACACATTCATAGGAAACAAAAAAAGATTGCATTGCAATTTGCAAAGTCATTGTCAGCCACAAGTAAAAAAACAAAAATGAAAAATCGACAATCTTTGGAGAAGCAAGAAGCTGTGAGAACCATCCTCGTGCAATCAAAATCCAGCAATGACAGCTCCATGGAAGAAGAAAATTGTGACAACAGCTGCTACTACCCAGGTTGCAAGAAAGATGCCAATTGTAACTGTGAAATTTGCTTGGACAGCATCAATGCCACCCTTGACCTCATGCCCTTCAGCATCCACAAAAGCACCCTCACTAAGCTCTCTGCTTCCAAACCCAGTGTTGAATGCACTCCAATCTCCTTTGATGCTTCCATTCTCTCCACACCCACATCCAGTGCTTGCCACATACCATCCACTCCTGTCCTCAAATCCAGTGCTAGATCAGATTTAAACCAGAAAATGGAAAACCAGAATAAGGGACAAGAGTGGTGTTTCTCTGGTGTCAATCTCTTCAGATTGCTACTGGGTTTGGGATTTCTTTTATCTGCAGATGTTGTTTTCCCCTGGGTAGTTTCTGGGATTTTTCAACCTTCTTTGTCACCGGATGTAGTGAGAAAGGTTGGTGAGAAATGTTTCCAAGTGCAAGATTTGAATGGAAAGTTGAGGTTTTTGCAGAAAGAGTTGGCAAGTGTTGTTGTTGGGGATGTTTCAAGTTGCAGCTTTGCTGATACCTTATGGGAAATCAAACAGGTATTGTATTACTCATTAAAAAAAAAAAAAAGTTTATTGGATTTGTTAAAGAACTGTGAGTTTGGAAAAGATTATATTTTTATTGATTATTCGATTGGCAATTAGAAAGTGTGGCTGACCAGCAACAACTAAAATTGCATATAGGATGGTTTGCTATTGAATTCAAGGTGCACATTGTACAAATCAGCAATAGAGGAAGTAACAATCTGGGGATGGCCTCTTCAAACGGCAGGATTACTCTCAACTGAGTTCTCTTTTCGAACATTCACTGTCTTATCAGGAAGAGTCACTGAGGTAAATTCTCCGCAATACCTTCCTTTTTCATCTGCCATTTATTGAAGTTGTTGACTAACTTCGAGTCATTGTGACTCTCTCTTCGAAAGTGGAATGGTGGACAAGTTGGCTATTTGATTCGAAAGGCCAATACTTCATGGGTACAACCAAAATGGGGTGCCTCCGTTGTGCAATTAGACCCTAATACGTGGGTGCTTGAATATCGAAGGAGTTCTATTTTTGATGGTACAAGCTTGTATTCAGCAGCATTGGAGTTCCTCAAACATAGGATTTCAAAAATTATTGGCAGGGTGAAGAAAGATTTCTGGTTCCTTGCTGCATTTGAAGATAACCAGCACAAATGGTTCACAGCAAACAATAGGCATAAAATCCCAACTTGAAGGGAATGGTAGATTTTGGAGTTAAGTCATCCTCAATCAGCGTAAATCCAGCCCTCATTTCTTGTGAGGAGCTCCATTTTCTTCTGTTAAGGTTCTTTAGATTGGATTTCTCTTTTAATTCTGGATATTCATTAGTGTATGATTTGACTATCCTAATTCATTAGTGGTGTTGAAATTCGAATATTATAACTTCTCCTTCATAAGAAGAATATAAAACTAGTTGGATTTGTTTTTCTTTTCTTTCTTTTTTTCTTTTATTCATTACTATAAATGACAAACTTGATCTATCACAGTAGCGCCTAACATAGCTCTTTCGCTTAAACCTTAATAATATCTTTTCTGCAACAATACCTGCAGAACCAGAAATTTTATGAACACTATTTCAAAGAATCTTTCAATTTATAAACTCCTACGAATCCAAATGATCCTAGATTCGCATGGTATTTGATGAACAAATTTTTGGTGCACCGTCGCACAGTGTGACAACAATAGTGCATTTTTGCCGGGATATATAGAAAGATCCTACACAAATTTTTAAACCCAAAATCCACCTACATATTCTAATAAAGAATTCAGTGCGACTGTTCACCTTGAATTTTTTCGTTTTTGATTATCGATGAAATCATGCGGTCAACCTCCAACGGCTACCTATTGTTTTGGAGCTCCAGTACTAAATACTATTTGGGGATTAGTCTCGTCCAATATCAAAATTAATTTACAAAATTAAAAATTCTTAGCTTTTCTTATAGTTAAAAAAATTCGTAAAATTTTTAGGAACATATTTGCCTTTTAAATATAACGTTTACAAATATAAAATAATATTTTTAGTATCAATTCTTTCAATTTGAAACCTAATCTCATTCAATCGCACCCTAATTCCCTAAGTAATAATCTATGGCTAAATAGTTTTAAAACAAACAAACGGAATTCAGTAGAACCAGCCTGCAATTGTTGCAAACGGATGAAATCAGCGTTCATCTATAGACAAGGAAATCAAGCTAACCGCGGAGGCGTTTTTCTTAACTTGAACAAGTTTTCCGACCCAAAAATGTAACTTTTTTATTTGACCCTTTACCCCTGCAGCTTTCCCCCCCTTCGATCACTACATTAACATCTTTTCTTTTCATTGCCGTATATTAATTCTTGTGAAGTTAGTGTCAACGGGGGCTCCTGATCATTCTGCATCAGAGTTTTTTACTGTTACGATGGTTAGTTATAACTATTGGTATTTTGACCAGCATTTCTTGATCATGACTTCTAAGGGCAAAAAAAATTGATTTAATGATTTTTAATAAAATAATTACGTATTTATTACAATTTTACAAATAATTACACATTTATTACACAATATGACGCTCAATTTGGGTGTCACTAAATACGCCTAAATTGAGAGTCACTCAAGAGGCAATCACGTCTAATTTAGGCGTCACTCATTAGTTGTTGACACATGTCATATTTTTTTTTCCAAAAAAATAAATAATTTAATCATAAAACTTCTAAACGCCATAACTTTTAACTCGGGTATCCAAATCAGGTAATTCTTTTTTTGATTTCACATAACTTTTTGAGATCTATGCAATGACATCTCATTTGACATATTTTATTTTTCACAAACACATTTTAAATTTGCAAGAATGGTATTATAAGAACGGTTAAACCCAGAAGCCTCTGAGTTCTGGATTTGTGATTTAATATAAAAAATAAAATAAAATTTTGATTTGTGATTTAATTTTTTTTATAATAATTTTTTTTATTATAACAAAAATTTGGTTTGTGATTTAAATTAAAAATAAAAATAAAAATTATTATTAATAAGGAAAATAAAATAAAGATTTGATTTGTGATTTAAACTAAAAAATCAATTTGAAAAATCTGTAGAAATAATTAAATAAATATTCTAAATCACTAAGAAAGAAAGATATTATTTTTGAAATTAATGATTAATGCTATAAGCTTCTGGGTTATTATTTGTGGTATGAAATTAATTATGGTTTATGAATGTTTTTCAAAAATAAAATTACCTAAATTAGGCGTGATTGCCTCTTGATCGAAACCCAATTTATACGTCATTGGTGACGTGTCAGGTGTTGACACGTGTCACATTTTTAAACTCAGAAGTCTCTAAATTCTGGGTTTGTGATTTAATATAAAAATAAATCAAGATTTGATGTGTGATTTAAATTAAAAAATAACAATTATTATTAATAAGAAAAACAAAATAAAGATTTGATTTGTGATTTAAATTCAAAAATTAATTTGAAAAATCAATTTAAAAAATCTGTATTATTAAAGGAAATAATTATATAAATATTCTAAATCTCTAAGGAAGAAGCATATTATTTTTGAAATTAATGATTAATGTTATAAGCTTTTGAATTATTATTTGTGGTCTGAAATTAATTATGACTTATGAATGTTTTTCAAAAATAAAATTACGTAAATTAGGCGTGATTGCCTCGTGATTGAAACCTAGTTTAGACGTCATTGGTGACGTGCCAGGTGTTGACACGTGTCCCATTTTTAACTCAGAAGCCTCTGAGTTCTGAGTTTGTGATTTAATATAAAAAATAAATCAAGATTTGATATGTGATTTAAATTAAAAAAATAACAATTATTATTAATGAGGAAAATAAAATAAAGATTTGATTTGTGATTTAAACTCAAAATTCAATTTGAAAAATCTTTATTAATAAAGGAAATAATTAAATAAATATTCTAAATCTCTAAGGAAGAAGGATTACCTGATTTAAATTTAAATTATGTTTGTGAGAAATAAAATATATCAAATGAGATGTCATTGCTTAGATCTCGAAAAGTTATGTGGAATCAAAAAAATAATTACCTGATTTGGATACCCGAGTCAAAAGTTATGGCATTCAGAAGTTTTATGATTAACTTATTATTATTTTTTTTAAATGACACGTGTCAACATCTGATAAGTGACGCCTAAATTTAGGCGTGATTGCCTCTTGACTGACGCTCGATTTAGGCGTCTTTAGTGACGCCCAAATTGTACGTCATATTGTGCAATAAATATGTAATTATTTCCAAAAATATAATAAATGAGTACTTAATTTATTAAAAAACATTAAATTAATTTTTTTCCCCATGCACATACTAGTTGTTTCTTGACTCAGTTTCAATTGTTATTGATAATTCTGACATAAAATCTTTTACATTTTGGCAATTGTCGAGTTAAAATTTTCACCTCCTCTTTTAATTGTAGGGTTGGTTTGTAAGCATGGAAGGGTATGTGCTTTCAAAATGCTTAGAAAAGGGTTATTTACGATGAATATTACTTTTATACATGAAATTTATTGTCCCGGGCATATGATATCGGTAAAGAACTAATTCAACCCAAAAGCTTAAGCTATTAGATGAGGCTATATTAATGGTTTTATATATTTCAACACGCCCTTTCACGCGAAAGCCCATTGGACTTGAAGGGCGGACAATGCACAGGTCCACCTACATGTGCGAACAAAGATATTCCACTTAAGAGAAAGTGGGGGCGACGAAAATCGAACTCGGGACACGAGGTTCTAATAATATCATGTAAAGAACCAATTCAACCCAAAAACTTAAACTATTGGGTGATGCTATATTAATAATTTATATATATCAACAGTATGTTTTATGTTTTAAAGTAAATCTAGCTGGCTGTAGAGTTCTTTGTATTTAAATTCTTATGCATTGATATCCTCACCAATTATTGCTGTTGTGTTTTAACATTCTGTAATCTGTTTCTAATAATGGTATAGCGCTTTGAAAGGAAATAATAGTGTATGATAATTGGATGGCTTCCAAATATGTGAATCCCAATTATGCTAACTTCAATAAATAGCAAAACTGAATATTGTTCAATTGACGGAAGATATCATTATCGCTGACTCCAGGGCTGGTTGAAGATTGTTTCTTTTAATACAAGAATTGCCTTATAACCTAGCAATCGTTAGTCAGGATTTAACTGGGAATGATTGTGAAATCGTAATTTCTTTATGATGGCAAGTCAGCAACTTGGAAATTCAGTATTTTGAATCGACCTTTCAGTACCTAAGATAAATCATACGTCTGTCTCCATTTTACAGTAAATCACCGGTTGTATCTTTATTGATACTAAGGCGTTTCTCCTAAATCCTTTTACAGTAACTGGTATTTATTTGGAATTTAGAGAGGTGGCACATCCATTGATTCTTGTGAAGATCACATTGCTACACTGGATGGAGTAGGTTACAGAAGGAGTTAGCAATTATGTTGGTCACCCTATCTCCGTTGCTAATTTTATCTTGTTTGTGCAATAAGCTTCAATTAGTAACACACTCTTGTAGGCTGGTAGTAGGGTTGGCAAAAATGAGTCAACTCATCATACATGAGTCAGGTTGGGTTGGTCTAAATAAGCTGTTAACTCAATTCAACCCGACTCGATACAACCTTTACCAAAATGAACCAGCCCGCGAGTCAAACAGGCCAACTCGCGGGTTGGGTAATTTTCTTTTTTTTTCTTAATTAAAAAAAATAATATCAAAACTACCAAATTTTCATACGCATCTCAGTCGCTCATTTCATCTCAGCCCTAAGATTCTGCCCCCTTTATCATTTCATGTCACTACGCATCACAGTCGCTCATTTCATCTCAGCTGAATTTTTTTTTCATTTCATCTCAGTCGCTGATTCACTTCTCTTCCAAGGTTGCTTTTGTTCTGGTGTTGTCGAACCCAAGAAGTACCCTTTGCAATCGAATAACCCTTGTTCACAGTAAGGTCTTCTCACTTTGCTTTTTATTTAGTTTACCTTTTTGTTTTCTAAATTATTTTCTAAACTATAAAGAACCCTTGTTCAATACTTCAATCGAAGAACCGATAGCATAATTCATCTTTGCTGATTTCCCCCAAAAGTATGTATATAGCTTTTTTGGAATTATAAGGAGAGAGTACGAAGAACTTGATGGTTTTAAACTAAGGAGGAAGGAAGTATTCAGGTTTAGATGAAAGTATGAAATA